ACTGACGGTGGGATGGGGCTTCAGGGGAAGAGGCAAGCAGTTCTGGCCCAGCATTACTCAAGACCCTTTAGAGGAGAATGAACCATTTCATGTACACCATCTACCCACCTCATTTCCTATGCAGCTGGAAGTGTTGAGAGGTGCCTCAGGGTCTGTGAGGAAGACTCAGGGGGCCCAGTAGAGTGCATTTGACATTCAACCTGCCTGGGGTCTCTGAGCTGCTGCAGTCCCTGCCCTGCCTTCTCCCACCCAGGGGGGCATGGAGAGGGGAACTAAATGGGAGCCCCAAAATGCAAGTTAACTGCTCTTCATATAGGCCAAGCCTGAGTCAGCTCCTGAACTCAGGACACTGGTGGACATTAAAAGGGAAAATTTATGGAGTCAGGCATTTCGGGGTGCCTATCTACCCATCAGCATCTTCTGTGGGCCCTGCCATAGAAAAAGCTATCTGGGAACATGAACAAAAGTGGCAAAGATTAGCCCAGTTAGCCTGGCTCATTGGTTGAATGTGAACCTATGAACCTGGTGGTCATGGTTCGATTCATTGTCAGAGCACATGCCTGGGTTGTGGGCTTGATGCCTAGTGTGGGGCATGCAGGGGCAGCCCATCAATGATTCTCTCTCATTGTTGATGTTTCTGACTCCCTCCCTCTCCCGTTCTCTGTGAAATCAATGAAAATATATGTTTTTTAAAAGTGAAAAAAATGTATATATACTAGTGGCCCGGTGCACAAAATTTGTGCATGAGGGAGGGTGTGTTCCTCAGCCTGGCCTGCACCCTCTCCAATTTGGGACCCCCTCGAAGGATGTCCTACTGCCAGTTTACAGGGATCTGGCCTAAACCAGCAGTCAGACATCCCTCTCTCAATCTGGAACTGCTGGCTCCTAACCGCTCACCTGCCTGCCTGCCTAATTGCCCCTAACCACTCTGCCTGCTGGCTTGTGCCTGCCCGACCCCCCAAAGCCCCTCTGCCTGCCGGCCTGCTCACCTCCAACTGCCCCCCCCACCAGCCTTCTTGCCCCCCCATTGGCCTGATCACCCCCAACTGCCCTCCTGATGGCCTGCTTGCCCCCAACTGGCCCTCCTGCTGATCTGCTCACCCCCAACGGCCCCACCCCCAACCAGTCTGATCACCGACAACTGCCCTCCCGTCTTGGCCTCTAACTGCCTCTACCTCGGCCCCACCACCATGGCTTTGGCCAGAAGAACATCTGGAAGGTCTCCTGGAAGGGCTCCCAGTCTAATTAGCATAATACTCTTTTATTAGTATAGATATATTTGTCTGTAAATATGGTTATGATTGCAGATATGAGTAGGACCAGGTAAAATTTTATAGAATGGGCCTTTTATTACAGATGGTTTGCCATGTA